TTGTTGTTGTTGTTGTTGTGTTTGTGGTTGTTGTTGTTGACGTTGTTGTTGTTGTTGTAGTAGTAGTTGTTGTTGTTGTTGAACATTATTTCTTCTTAAGAATAATTATTGTTGGGACCCCTGGTGCACGACCCCCCCGCCGCGCCTAGGCCGCAGCCTCATTTTCATCATTTTCGTGAGGAACTGGTTTTGCAAAAACGGGGGATGTCTCCCGGATCGGTTGTGTTGTTACGATCGGTTTTTCCTTGCCAAAAAATAGGGTGCGAGGACATTTTTTTCTGTTCTAACATAACCAAATGTCAAGAATCCCTTGACCAAAATAACGGAGCGAACTGGACATTCGCGCGCGCGCAGACGAAATCCTTCCAAAACCTTAGTTTTTGTAGCGATTTTAACATACAAACATCAAAAAACCAATGGTTTTTCAAAAACAATTTGTCAAAATTTCATCCCGCGCGCTCTTGCGGATTCGTAGGAAACCCAACACTTTTTAATCATTTCTGTCAAACGGGCTTTTGCGAGCAACTTTTTCGAACTTCTGCAACAACGGTTGCGCACCTGCCAGGGCCATCATCCCTGTCAATTAATACCATGCGGGACACATTCGTTTTTTCTTCGCGCGCGCACGCCGTCGTCGTCGGCCGCGGGGCCCTGAATAGTAGCCACGGTCGTCCGCATGCCACGAAGTGAAGCGTCCGAACGTCATAGGGCGGGAAGCTGGGTGTGGGTGGTGGCGAAGAGTCGTTTGGAAACTTGGTAGAGCTTGAACCGGCCCCCCCACAAAGTGGGGTATTGCCCGCCTCCTATGAAAACCCTGGCACTGGTGAGAACGGAGTGTCCCCAGTCTTAAATGATTGTTGTTGTTGTTGTTGTTGTTGTTGTTGTTGTTGTTGTTGTTGTTGTTGTTATTGTTGTGGTTGTTGTTGTGGTTGTTGTTGTGGTTGAACATTATTAATTCTAAAGAATAATTATTGTTGGGGCCCCTGGTGCGCGCCCCCCCCGCCGCGCCTTGGCCGCAGCCACATTTTCATCATTTTCGTGAGGAAGTCTCAGGCAAAACGGGGTATACCAGATCCGGTTGTGTTGTTACGATCGGTTTTCCCTTGCAAAAAATAAGGCAAAGTGGACATTTCTTGTTCTAACATGACCAAACTTCAAGAATCCCTTGCAAAAAATGGCACGAGGTGCACATTCGCGCGCGCAAGACGAAATCCTTCCAAAACCTTAGTCTTCGTAGCGATTTTCACATAAAAACATGAAAAACCCAATGGTTTTTCAAAAAAGGGTTTCAAAAATTCACCCCGCGCGCTCTTGCGGATTTCTTAGGAAACCCAATACTTTTTCAACATTTCTGTCAAACGGGCTCTTGCGAGCAACTTTTTCGCGTGCTTCGAACTTCTGCAACAAAGGTTGCGCGCCTGCCAGGGCCATCATCCCTGTCAAATAATACCATGTGGGACACATTCGTTTTTTTCTTCGCGCGCGCACGCCGAAGATTTCTTAGGAATTTTAGCACCGCGCAACATAAAATCATACGAATCGCACCGTAGGTTCTCGAAAAACATCTGTACGAATATTCAAAATTTCTACCCGCGCGCGCTGTCCGAATCCTTAAACCAATGGTTTTTCAACATTTATGTTATAGAGCTCGCGCGAGCTGTTTTCGCAAGCTCTTTCAACGGCGTTCGCGCGCCTGCCAGGGGCCACAATCCCTTGCAAAAAATATCGTGCGGGACACATGCGCGCGTCGTCGTCGTCGTCGTCGTCGGCATGTTACCACAACAAGTCCGTGTGTCACCACGTCATCGAACAAAATCACTGATCACTGTCACATCCGTAGCCATCTCGGATCAAGGTATCGCCTGTGTTCTTGGATGGGTCATGGCTTTGTCGGCGAAAGCCCTTGACGAGCAGTATGGCCCAGAGCTGTCGCGGCCTCCCTTGGCCGACTGCGGCAGCCCGTATTATTTGCATCAGGCGCTCGTTGCAAAGGGTATCCAGGTCAGTCACCAGGCGTGCAAGGTTTGGTGGGTCAAGTATCGGGTTGTGCCTGGCAAGGTCAGTATTTCTAGCGCCAAGGAGCTGGAGGAGCAGCACGGCTCTGCCATCCGCCATCTGGGCATCGAGTATAATACAGCTTTCAAATTATGTGGGGCGCTCCGACGGTTGGATCCAGGTCCTGACTCATACAGTGGCTCATACAGTATCACCCTGACTCTGGTCCTCGTATCAGACGCTAGCGCCTCGCCAGCCAAAGCAGTCCATATCATTGTAGGACCTACAGACAGTACCGGCGTCGTACTGGTTTACCGTGGTTTCCTATTCTAGCGTCAGGAACACGTTGCCACCAAAAACCAGTACAGGTGTCCAGTGTTGGAACAGGGGGAAAAGTCGTATACTAAGCTAGCGTCCAGAAAATGTTACCACAACAAGTCACTGTACCCATGCGCCAGTGTAGTAGCCACGGTCGTCCGCAGGCCACGAAGTGAAGTGTCCGAACGTCATAGGGCGGGAAGCTGGGTGTGGGTGGTGGCGAAGAGTCGTTTGGAAATGTGGTAGAGCTTGAACCGGCCCCCCCACAAAGTGGGGGTATTGGCGGGCGTCGTATGAAAACCCTGGCACTGGTGAGAACGGAGTGTCCCACTGCTAAGTAATTGTTGTTGTTGTTGTTTGTTGTTGTTTGTTGTTGTTTTGTTGTTTGTTGTCGTCGTCCCACCCGCAACCCGCCCCGCGATCCCACCCGCGACCCACCCCGCGACCCACCCCGCGACCCACCCGCGGACCCACCCGCGACCCACCCGCGACCCACCACCCGCGACCCACCCCGCGACCCACCCCGCGACCCACCCCGCGACCCACCCACCCCGCGACCCGCCCGCGGCCACCCCGCGACCCACCCGCGACCCTGCCCGCGACCCACCCGCGACCCACCCGCGACCCACCCGCGACCTACCCCGACCCACCCGCGACCCACCGCGACCCAAACCACGTTCAAGGTACAAACCACCATTTTCGGCGCCTGCGGCGGGCTTTTTTGCATCCCTTCCAGGTGGAGAGCCCGCGACCCACCCCGTGACCAACTCGCGACCAACCCGCGACCCAAACCACGTTCAGGGTACAAACCACATTTTTCGGCGCCTGCGGCGGGCATCTTTTGCATTCGTTTCAGGTGGAGAGCCCGCGGCCCACCCGCGACCACGTTCAGGGTACAAACCACATTTTTCGGCGCCTGCGGCGGGCATCTTTTGCATTCGTTCCCGGTGGAGAACCCGCGGCCCACCCGCGACCCAAACCACGTTCAGTGTACAAACCAATTTTTTTGGCGCCTGCGGCGGGCTGCTTTTGCATTCCTTCCAGGTGGAGGTGGAGAGCCCGCGACCCACCCACGACCTAAACCACGTTCACTGAACAAACCAATGCCGCACAAGCGCGGCGGCGGATTTTTGCATGCCGTGTGAGCCCGCAAGGACCTCTTCAAGCCCCGCGCATCCACACCAGCCCGTCCAGCAACTCTGCCCTGGCGAGTTGCCTTGATCAGAGAAGGCGGGGAGCATAAAGTGGAAAAAAGGATTGCGTTGCAGTTATCTTGGGAAAGGAGGGGGAGGCAGGAGGAGTAAACAGGGGACGAGGAGAACGCGGAAGAAGAGAGGATGTAAGGAGAATGTGGAGAAAGAAAAGGAGGAGGAGCAGGAGGACGGGAGGAGGGGGAGGAGGGGGAGGAGGAGGACGAGATGATGATGATGATGATGATGATGATGATGATGATGATGATGATGATGATGATGATGATGATGATGATGATGATGATGATGATGATGATGATGATGATGATGATGATGATGATGATGATGATGATGCTGATGCTGATGATGGACGACAGTGGGAGGACGATGATGGAGGCCGATGAGGGGGAGGACGACAATGGGAGGACGATGATGAAAGGACGAGGGGGGGAGAAGGAGGACGAGGAAGAAGAGGAGGAGGAGGACGAGGTGGAGGAGGAGGAGGAGGAGGATGACGATGACGATGAGGACGAGGACGAGGAGGAGGAGGAGGAGGAGGAGGAGGAGGAGGAGGAGGAGGAGGAAGAGGAGGAGGAGGAGAGCGCCATCGACAGGGAAGGTGGGGCCACGAGGTCCGCCGGCTCGACGACGCCCGCGTCGCCCGCGCCCGCCCCCTCACTCTTATCCGCAATTGCGGGGTGCTACGTGTGTCTTCGGGCCCCGGCAGGGGGGGCGGGGGCAACTGTACCTATGCCCACCGCCTGCTAGGGTCCCCGAGGGATCGAACTCCCGGGCGGTGGTCATGGATAAGCCCCCGCCCTGCAACGATCGACCACATGTAAGAGTGACCCTTCGCCGAAGTGACCTTTGGTGCGCGCCCATTTGGGGCCCCCCGATCGCCGAGTGCGGCGCGACAGCGTCTTGCGCGCTTGTGATTGGCCCCCCCCCCCCTCTGCCCTCAAGAGGCCGCGCACCAAAGGTCACTCTTGCCCGTGGTCACTCTTGCGTGCAGCCGAAACGAGGGCTGTCCTGGTGAGGGTGCCCCTTGGAACGTTTTTGGGGCCTCTTGGAGCATCTTGGGAGCCACCTTGAGGCATCGTGCGCTCTATTTTACGCCATCTTGGAGCTCACCTGGGACTCTCTGGGGCCCTCTTGGAGCCGTCTTGGGCCATCTTGGACGCTCCACCGCCTCGCCGCCCCCCCCTCCCTCCTGCTCCTTCTGCTCCTGCTCCTCCCCCCCTCCTCCTCCTCCTCCTCCTCCTCCTCCTCCTCCTCCTCCTCCTCCTCCTCCTCCTCCCCCTGCCCCCTGCCCCCTGCCCCCCCCTCCCCCTCCCCTTTCCTCCTCCCCCTGGCCCCCCCCCCCTCTCTCCGCAGCTCCGCCGGGGCCCGCTCGGGGCACTCGCGCGGCGGCCCCCCTGGCGAGAGTGGGCGGGCGGTGGCCCGGTCGTCGGCGTGCCCGCTCCAGCCCTCCGGCGCCGAGCGGCCGCCCCCTGCGAGGGCACCGGCGAGCAGCCTCTGGCGGAGCAGCCCGCCGAGCCGCCGAAGGAGAACGGCGACGAGCAGGTCGAGAGGGAGAAGGAGTATGCCCCGGAGGAAGAGAGGGCAAAGAAGAAGCCAAGAGAGCCGTCTCCGACCAGGTCTGGCACTTCTGGCACGTCGGGCACAGGCACGGAGACAACAGCCACTTCGACAACCGTCTCTACAGCAACCTCGCCGCTGACCACCAGCATCGCTTCATCGGTAGAGGCAGTGGGGCCCGAAGCCAGTCGGGCTACCAAGAAGATTACAACGCTGGGAGCAAGTACGACAACACTGGCGCCTACCACTACCACGGAGCCAGCAACACTTACAACGAGCGCCTCTACCACGAGGAAGACGACGGTCCCGACCACCACCAAGAGTATCAAGGTGGTCGCTGAAGGTCCAGCAGACGAGGGTGACGGGTCTGTCCAATCTGGAGACGTAATTTTTCTGAAGACCCACACTGGCTACTACGTGGACGCGCAAGGCGGCAAGGTCCGCGCTCGACAGAAGAAGCAGGGGGAGTGGCAGCGTATGACTATCACGAAAGAGGGAGGCGGGACAATCTGGTCCGAAGGAGACTGCTTCTTCGATTCGTGCTCTCTCCGCAACCTTGTCTGGACAGCTTCTCGGCGTTAGGAGCAGCCTATCTTGATTGCTAGGGGGGCGAACCTTGCGCAGATGTGTCGAGAAGAGCAGTACCATAGCGCGTCCATTATTTTGCGACGTGGGCGGAAATCTTCTTCACCGCTGTCACTTCACCGATTGCGAGACTTGGGTTCTGGTCTCATGACTCCTTCAATCACCGAGCCGCCCCGCAGTTGGATTCGGCCAGGTCCAGGCGTTTGCGGCAGATCTGGCCTCAGAACAGTGCTGTCCGTTTATATGATTCACCTCTGTCTGGGCAGAGGACAGAATTATGTCTCTTGCTGATGTGATTGCAGCATTGTCCGGACATGGCTCTCTCTTTCTCCTTCTCTCTGTCTCTGTCTCATTATCGTGTTCTCTATCCTTGCTGTTTTCTATCATGTGTTCTTTCCATCTCTGTCTATATCTTTATTTTTGTGTGTTTTGTCTCTCTCTCTCTCTCTCTCTCTCTCTTCATACATATACATGTACCCTCGGAAGCCCGCGACTATCTATATTGCCTCATCGCAGGCACGTCTGGACCGCATCCGTACACATCATGGTGCCTATATCGTGTTCGAACATTGCCCAATCTGGATGTGTGTTCGAAAGACAAGTAGGCGTCAACCCTGGCACAATGGGAATGTAACATCGCCGTCCAATTGTGCGCAAATCTCGTCCGAGACGCACCCCTCAGCAAAGCCAAACATCAACGACGGCATGCATGCGTTTTTGAGTATAACCTAGTCTTGGACACCATTATGAAACATAGCTGACAAGGACAACGAGCTTGACCGCGCCGCCACGCGGATTTCGCAGGGCCTGGTGTGAGATGGGGGTCGAACATGCCGACTCTAAGGCTCCCCAGAAGAGACCCCACATGGCGCCTAGACTGTAGGCTGACGACCGACACATCGGGCGGTTTCAACCGCTTGGCGCAAGTCGTTGCTCACTACAAGCATCAGCGCTGTTCTCGTAGGGTGCATGTGAAATCGGTGGTTGGGCGATGAATGTGCCCCTCACAGCACCCCAGGTAGGCTGACGATTTGAATCCAATCACGGTTGGTAGCAAGGTGACGCACAGGCAAGCGTCATTACAATGTCGGCCAGGTGTTACTTGCATACTTGCAAGTTCTGCCTCCGTGCCTGCGCAACGCCTTGCGATGCGACATGTCAAGAAACGCCCATGCTAATTTGATATGTGACACTTCGTATCATTGGCTTTTGGAGTGCCATAGCATGCGGCACGCCGCTTCTACGGGGCGAGGAAGCTGCAACGTTGGATGATTGTCTTCCTCAGGGCTCAGCGCCGTAATTATATGCGACTGACATGCATCAGTTATAAGAGGAGGCGGAGGAGACGTGGGAGAGAGGGCAAGGGGGGAGGGGAAGGCGTTGCAATGACTCTTGGGGCATCTTGGGGCTCTCGCCGGTGCCTCTCGTGAGCCGTTTGGGGCTCTCTGCGACCGTCCTGGGTGCCTCGTGAGGCCATCTGGGGACGTCTCGGGGACGTTTTGGGTCCTCTCGGGCCGTGCCGGGGTGGTTTTGTAGCGCCTTCTGGAGCCCCCCTTTGTCGGCTGTGGGCCATCTTGGCGGTCTCTGGGTTTTTTTCTGGGCTCTCCAGGACCCTCTGTTTTGGAGTCCTCCTGGGCCGTCTTTGAATTCTGCTGGGGTGTTCCAGAGCCGTCCTGGGGCACTCCTGAACGCTTTGGGTGCCACGCTGGGCAGCAAAGGAATGGGAAGCGAACGAACTCAAACATTGCGCTGGTTTGTGGTTAATGTTTTCTGTGATCTCGCTTGGGGCATGTTGGGTTCTTTCACTTTTGAGCTTCTAGGGGTAAGTCGGGCCCGTCCCTCTACATGAGGAGCATCCAAAGATAGTCAACAAAACAGTCTGGGGACTATGTGTTGAGCATTTTTTGGCTATTTGGGAATCTGTTTGGGGTACTTTTTTATGCTTCGTCCCAAAATCCCCCTGTAGGGGTACAGGCCCGACCGAATGCTGGGGTCGCCTCTTAGGCCCCTGGGCATCCTTGGCTGGCCGCGTCGAGGCACGCCGTGCCACGGCGTGCTCGGCGTGCCACGGCCCGCGCGCGCCGACGGGCCATCGCGCGAAGGAGCGCCGCCCACGGGGCCAACTTCTGGAATGGGCGCGCGCCTGCTTAAGTCGGGCCTGTCCCTCTACGGGAGGAGTGTTCAAACATAGCCAAACAATCCGACGAAGGCATCTATACACCACCACCGTGCCAGGCCAGGGCCATCCTTGGCCGTAGGATGGTGTATAGACCCTCCTGGCTCGGCCAGGAGGGCGTATACACCATCCTAGGGCCCAGGATGGCCCTGGCCTGGCACGGTGGTGGTGTACAGATGCTTTCTGCGTAAACATTGTTGTTGAACATTTGGAAGGTCTGTGGGGGAATTCTAAATTTGTCGCCCAAAGTCCCTCAGTAGGGGGACGTGCCCCTACAGGAGGAATGTCCAAACATAGTCAACACATAGTCGGGTGACAATGTTCTGACTATTGTTGAACATTTGGAAGGTCTGTGGGGGTACGTTTAATCTGGCGCCCCAAAATCCCTCAGTATGGGGGACGTGCCCGACTTACTCTCAGGCCCCTGGGCACCTTGGCTGGGCGCGTCGAGGCACGCCTCGTGCCGCGGCGTGCTCGACGTGCCACGGCCCACGCGTGCGCCGACGGGCCATCGCTCGGGGGCGGCGAAGAGGGGGGTGATGATTAGGGGGGGGGATGTCATGGCCTGGGCCATGATATTTCCCCAGATTTCATGGCGCCTCTTCTTGTTTCACTACGTCCCTGGCCACCTCGCTGGGCCGCGCACATGCCGCCAGTCATGATTTGCACCCCCCCCTCTTGGACACCCCCTTCTTGGCCGCTCCCGAATCGCGCGAAGGAGCGCTGCCCGAGGGGGGCCAGCTTCTGGAAGGGCGCGTGCGTGCAGTCTAGAGCTCGGGGTTGGACAGACCTCCTACCCTGACACGTCGATCAAGGCATTGGCCGTTTTCGGTTCGCGAGAGGGCGTCGCGGCCGTCATGTTTGCGGGTCCAGTTCCGTCGGTTTCGGTCCCAGGCTGTTTTCATTAAGGGGAGGTCTACTAAAGGGAGGTTTGTCCACCGCCGAAGAGCCACTTGAGATGTACGGGATAATATCGGCTGAGGTTGGACAGCAGCCGTGCCGCTTGTCCGCAAGCAGTGCTGGGATTCAGGCGTTGTCATACGAGGTCATGGCCGCGTGGCTTCGGCCGATCAGCGTGCGCTCTTTTTATGTTCAGACTCCACGGTCACCATACTTGCAGTACTTCATACAATGTGTGCGACGATGCAGGGTAACTTGTGGAAGCGCATCCCATAGTATTGTCTCCGCAAGTATACATATAACGGCGCACCGGGTCCGGGGGTCCGGGGGCCCGGGGCCGGGACCCCGACCGCAAATGTGGGCCCCGGGGGGCCCGGAGGCTCGTCGGACCGCCGGACGCCGTCCAAGATCGTTCGCAGGCGGCTTCGGAACGCGCTCCGATGGCTCCAGATGCCTTCCAAGACGCCTGTCATGACACCAAGAAGGTCCCAGAAGCCTCCAAGACGCTCCGAGAGGCAGCCCAAGAGAGGCCCAAGAAGCAAAAATCGTGCCATTCCTATGGGAAAACGTATATTTTTCGCATGTTCGCCTCTTGGGCTTTCACCGCGTCCAAGACGGCCCAAGAGGCGCCCAAGACTGTCTACGAGGCCTCCGGGAGCGCTCCAAGGCTGCGCACGAGTGGCCCAGGACGGCCCCAAGACGGCCCAAGAGAGCCCCAAGACGAGTTCGAGAGGAGTCCCAGACGGAGAAAGCCAACCTCGAATTCCGAGCTTCCAGCCCAAGAGGCTCCAGGAGGCGCCAAAATGCCGCCAAGAGGCGCCAAAAGGCTCCCAAAAGCACCCCAAGACGTTCCGAGAGGCACCCCAAGAGAGGTCCAAGAAACAAAAATCGTGCCATTCCTATGGGAAAGCGTATATTTTTCGCATGTTCGCATCTTGGGCTTTCACCGCGTCCAAGACGGCCCAAGAGGCCTCCAAGACGGCCTAGGAGGCCTCCGGGAGCGCTCCAAGGCTGCGCACGAGTGGCTCAGGACGGCCCCAAGACGGCCCAAGAGAACCCCAAGACGACTTCGAGAGGGGTCCCAGAAGGAGAAAGCCACTCTCGAATTCCGAGCTTCCGGCCCAACACATCCCAGGAGGCGCCAAAACGCCGCCCAGAGGCGCCAAAAGGCTTCCAAAATCAGCCCAAGACGTTCCGAGAGGCACCCCAAGAGAGGTCCAAGAAGCAAAAATGGTCCCATTCCTATGGGAAAACGTATACTTTTCGCATAGTCGCCTGTTGGGTTTTCACCGCGTCCAACACGTCCGAAGAGGCTCCCAAGACGGCCTAGGTGGCCCCCGAGAGAGTTCCAAGACGGTTTACGAGGCGCCCAGGACGGCAAAATTGGACTCCAAAATGGCCTAAGAGAGCCCCAAGGCGTGCCCGAGAGGGGTCCCAGAGGGAGAAAGCCACTGAAGAATTCCGAGCTTTCGGCCCCAAGAGGCTCCAGGAGGCGCCAAGAGAGCTCCAAGAAGCCCCCACGAGAGACCCAGGACGCCTCAAGAGGCTCCAAAGGCGGCCCAAGAGAGCCCCAAGATGGGCCCGAGAGGGGTTCCACGCAAGTTGTTATTGTATCGCTCGGGAAAGGACGATGATGAGGAGGAAGACGAGGACGAGGAGGAGGAGGAGGAGGAGGAGGAGGAGGAGGATTCCTGGGTCTGTGACTCGACAGAACCTAAGCGCGCGCGAAGCGCGCGCGTGGTTCTAGTGCTATAGGTTGCGGCAGGCTGTATCCCGATAGCTGAGGCAATCGAGCATCAACCCTAACCATTCGCAGTCAAACGCGGCCATCATGCATATATCGCGGGAACGAATGGCCCGATGAGGTGGAGGAGGAAGGTGAGGAGGAGGAGGAGCAGGAGGAGGGCGATTTTAGCTACATGAGGAAACCATCGTGTACACACGTTGATTCATCGGGACTGGGATGCATTCCCAACCCTGATGCAGCGCCTCGCCTCATCGTCTCATGATTATCCCTCGTGCTCGGTGCTGGCAATTGTTCGGGTGCGCGAGATGAGGGTCCTGGGGCTCTCGGGCACCGCCAAGAGAGGCCCTTTTGATTCCGCGGGGGCGGCCAAGAGAGGGGTGGTGACCACTTCGGGGGGTGGATATCATAGCCAGGGTCATCAGACCTCCCAATACGTCCCCTGGCCCCCCTTCTTCCGCGCACATTCCTCGGGCCATGATTTGCGACACCCTTTCTTCAACGCTCCCCTCCTGGACGCCCCCGAGACTCCAGTGACTCGTTCAGAGGGGGGTCCGAGGGCCAACATAATCAAGATGTGTCCATGGAGATCCTAGTCGAAAGATTACCGACAGCTTGCTCATTGGGGGTTCAGAGCGTCGAAGTTGGAAAGCCGAGGTCGCCCTTGCATGCCCGATCTACCAAAGCTCCAATGCAAAATCCTCGCCCGGGTCTGGCACGCCGTTTGTTCCGATGTGGCCGGCGCTCATGAGCTCTTTGCAGTTGTAGTTGTAGTTTAATGGCCACTCGGGGGTACTTGTTGCGTGGCTTGGAGTCGCGTCTTAGCTGTTGACATGGCTCTTGAGACAAATTGCGGCTGACCCACAGACACCGTCTTCCTTCGGACCAATACTGGGAAGAACCTCAACGTCGACGGCGACAGGGAAACCCAAAGCGATGACATCCAAGAGATACGGAGATCCGGATCGGCAAGCGAGCGGCAGTTTAGGGTTGTTGGGCGCTGTTCCCCAGGGGAAAATATTCAGCAGGGAGCGGCCAGTCTGTAAACGCTGCATCGACCGAATGCCAGTCCAGCGCGCCTTGCCAAGGACCCGACACGCCCGATGTGCGACTTCGCAAGAAGTAGTAATCGAGGCATGACCAGACAGTTCGTGTTCAGATCAGTGCGTTTGTTGGCTCTCGTTGGGATCTTGCAGATGTTGTTCGCGGGTCCGCCCACGTGCTTTTGTTTCTAGGGAGGCGACGAAAGGGGAATGGAGGCGATTCTTTTGTTGGTTGGTTGCCGAGCATGTGATTGCGGGACTGGGATAAGTGGACCGTCAGTTCTTGGCCTGAGCAGCAGCAGCCCCGTGACCAGGGAAGGGTTTCCCTGATATCTTGCTCGCCTGCACGTACCCTGTCATGGGCGATCCCTGCACTCCTCGTGCACACAGTGCAGATTGGACTGTCAGCCGCTTCTGCGCGTCATGGATACAGGGTGCTCGCATTCCAGAACGTTAAGCACATGCTAATTCAATGGTAGGGCTGTTAGGGTGTCCATTGTCACGGCATTCACAAGAATAAATACGCGGTCCCCGGAAGTCCTTTCCCCAGGCCCAGTTTTGCATCCTGAGGCGTTTTTGACGGTCCCGAGGCATGGCGGCCAGGGCCCACCCGAGGCCGAACACTGCCCGAACCCTCCCGTCGTGTTTTTATTCACGACGTGGTCCTGTATGAGTCTCCAGGCTCCGCGAGTCATGAGGAACATCCTGGAGGCTCCGTGCGGCGCGCAATATCTGTTTTATCTAGCCCACACGTCCGCCACGTAAGTTCTGGGACGTTGTTCGAGCGGCGATGTTCTGGCGGACGTCCGACGTAAATCCCACGCGAGGCTGTTCTTTTAGAGGTTCCAGGGGTAATGCGTGTTGCCCCCTCCCCCTCCCCCCCGACCCCCCGTCCCCTCGTAACGATAACGCCTGGGAGCCGGCCGCAGGTGTGAATCCTTACAGGTTCCATGAGACCTTTTAGGTATCCCCACGAGAAAAAGCAAAAGGCGGAGGAGAAGGTGAGGAGGAGGAGGAGGAGGAGGAGGACAAGGGGAGGATGAAGACAAGGCCCAGTGAGTGCCTCCACGCCCGCCCCCGCCCCATCCTCGGCACAGGCGGGCACCCCCTACGGGGGGGTGACCCAGGGCGCCCTCAGGGCGGTGGCCCAAGCGGGCCGCGCGACCTGCAGGAGCGAGGGCCCACCACGGGTTCCTCGGGCCCTCACCCGCCGCGCGCCGCCACGTTGCGCTGCTGCCTTGGCCCTACAGTGCCGCTTTTTATGCATGCTCCGCGTGCGGATCACGTATTGAACCTGCAGGGATCCAGTACTAAAAACAACGATGAGTTCATGCATGTATTTATTCATACATTAATCATGTATTAAAGATCCGATCGTTTTTTTCCTACCTAGGCTCTGCCTAGAAGGGTTCTTACTCTCTTAGCTTAAAGGGTCCGGGCAGTGTAAAGCGCCCCGGGCGGTTCCCCCAGTCCCCGCCCCGCGGTTCCCCCAGTTGCGCCCCCTGGGTTCACCCAGCTTAGCTTCGCTTCAGCTTAGCTTTAGCTTAGCGTTAGCTTAGCTTTAGCTTAGTTTTAGCTTAGCTTTAGCTTAGCTTTAGCTTAGATTTAGCTTAGCTTCAGCTTAGCTTTAACGTAGCTTTAGCTTAGCTTCAGCTTAGCTCTAGCTTAGCTTTAGCTTAGCTCTAGCTTAGCTTTAGCTTAGCTTCAGCTTAGCTTCAGCTTAGGTCTAGCTTAGCTTTAGCTTAGCTTCAGCTTAGCTTGAGCTTAGCGTTAGCTTAGCTTTAGCTTAGCTCTAGCTTAGCGTTAGCTTAGCTTCAGCTTAGCTCTAGCTTAGCTTTAGCTTAGCTCTAGCTTAGCTTTAGATTAGCTTTTGCTTAGCTTTAGCTTAGCTTTAGCTCAGCTTTAGCTTTGCTTTAGCTTAGCTTCAGCTTAGCTTGAGCTTAGCTTTAACGTAGCTTTAGCTTAGCTTCAGCTTAGCTTCAGCTTAGCTTCAGCTTAGCTCTAGCTTAGCTCTAGCTTAGCTTCAGCTTAGCTTCAGCTTAGGTCTAGCTTAGCTTTAGCTTAGCTTCAGCTTAGCTTTAGCTTAGCGTTAGCTTAGCTCTAGCTCAGCGTTAGCTTAGCTTCAGCCTAGCTCTAGCTTAGCTTTAGCTCAGCTCTAGCTTATATTTAGCTTAGCTTTAGCTTAGCTTTAGCTTAGCTTTAGCTTAGCTCCAGCTCAGCTTCAGCTTAGCTTTAGCTTAGCGTTAGCTTAGCGTCATCTTAGCTTCAGCTTAGCTTTAGCTTAGCTGTAACTTAGTTTCAGCTTAGCTTCAGCTTAGCTTCAGCTTAGCTTCAGCTTAGCTTTAGCTTAGCTTCAGCTTAGCTCTAGCTTAGCTTTAGCTTAGCTCAAGCTTAGCGTTAGCTTAGTTTTAGCTTAGCTTTATCTTAGTTTTAGCTTAGCTTTAGCTTAGCTTTAGCTTAGCTTTAGCTTAGCTTTAGCTTAGCTTTAGCTTAGCTTTAGCTTAGCTTTAGCTTAGATTTAACTTAACTTCAGCTTAGCTTTAGCTTAGCTTTATCTTAGCTTTAGCTTAGCTTTTCTGTTGCTACTAATGCTGCTTTCGTAGGGGCTTCAACTCCTAGGTAGGGTCGCACTGGGATAATTAATCCTATGTATTAGAAACTGCCCTGTACTCCTTCCGTTTCTCCCGAGGTAATGTTGTTATGTCAGTTCCCCTCCTCCTGCGGTCTCAGAATTTTGCGCTTTCGTCTGCTCCCATTGAGGGGCTCGACCAGGCCTCTCTGGGGGAAGCGGCAGCGTCCGAAGACGTCAACGCCGTCAGGAACCAGGAACCAGGAGGAGGAGGAGAAGGAGGAGGAGGAGGAGGAGGAGGCAGTGTAAGGAGGGAGAGGAGGGGGAGGAGGAGAAAGAGGGAGGGAGGGGGGGGGGCGGAGGAGCGATCCCCAAACGATCCCCGTGTGCCTGGCCTGACGTCTCCTCAGGGAAATTCGGCGGATCTCCACCCCCACCCGGCCCCCCGTTCCCCTCTCTGGGGCCGAGCTTCGGCTCCCGAGTGCGAGGGCGTTTCGGCAAGAAGGGCACGGCAGGCGCGCAGCCGGACCGAGGTATAAGATCGAGGTCGGTTCGGGGAGGGTCTCCTAAGGTTTGTTGTTGTGCTTTCTGGGGTGTTCTCGCGCACCCCGTGGAGGGTACCCTGGGATGTGCTGTCCGTTTCGGCCGACGGAGGGTCTCGTACTCTCGAGGGATGTCATTCTGGCCCAGGTCCGACTCTACATGCTGGTCGCTGACAAAGCTGGTATTTGTTGATCCCCTGATCTCAGTCTACTTTCTAAGTGCCTTCCTACTTCAAGAGTCGGGCGGGTTTGCCTCATCCCTCCGCTTCAAGGGGCGGGCGGAAGCCCAGGCTTCCTCCAGCGCCTTCCCACGTCATGTTTCTGCCTACTTCTTCCGACCGGCGAGTCTAGATGGGGTCGGAGGTTGGAGCCAGCTAAGGGCGGAGGTGGCCCGGCACCGCCTTGCGGCGAGCAGGAGTGGGGGTGCGGTGCAGGTTCGTCAGGAGGGGGAAAAACACACAGACAAGATGAACCGTCGACTCCCAGGAAAATAAAGAAAAATATAGACAGGGGGGGGGAGACGAAACTCCTGAGAAGGTTGGAACATGTGAGGGATCCTGGGATCTGTGTGTATTTATCTGTGTGTGTGCCTGGGCCCCACTCAGTGGAGGCGCTGTGTGTTGGGAAGGCTTTTCTTGCCTCTTCGTCGGCCTCCAGCAGGGGCCGTGTTCGGGGCCTTGGACCTTCCGGCACGGACCCAGGGTGAGAACCTGCGCCAGGAGGAGGAGGAGGAGGAGGAGGAGGAGGAGGAGGAGGAGGAGGAGGAGGAGGAGGAGGAGGGAGGAGGGGACCCCGGGACGGGTCCGGGGACCGCTTTTGGGTTGACTTGGCCTCAATTCGGCACGCGAGTCTCCGCCTGCCCTGCGGGCCACAGCTCGGCACTCGGGCCGCCCCTCGGGACGATCCGGGCGCCCCCAGCACGCTCTCGGCGAGTCGCAGCTGCCGGAGGGCAGCCTCGAGGCTGGAAAGCTGCCGAGAGCCGCAGAGAGCGCCCCCAAACCCTCGAGCCGACACTTCGAACACCCGAGGCTGGAAAGCCGCGCCACCGAACACCTCCTGACCGATGTTCTGGGGTCCCACTTCAGCATCGCCGATGCGTCGGCGATGCGGCTCGATGTGGCGCGCGAATTTCTCCACGCCGACGGCGCAGATGCACCGATGATGCAACGGCGATGCGTCGCGGCCCTCCGACCGCATCTTCTCGGACCCCGTTCTGGAGGCCGCTATCCTCTCGCTGCGTGATATGATCCGACCCCGAGCCAAGCCTCCGGATCGGTTTGGGAGGTCGCCGCGGCGATCGCGGCTGCCACACATCGGGGCAATGGCTTTGTCAAGGAGCGGCATTGCTCCTTCCCAGTCCCACCCCCCCGCTCTGCGAGCCGTCAATGCAGGTCCGAATGAGCAGTATGTATATCGACGGAGGGCCGATAATGTGTGTCCAACATGGGCAATCCTGTTTTTTTATTTAGGGGCCGATTCTCACGCAAGCATCCTCGGCTCGGTCCGAAGGGTTTGGTCGGTTCGGCATCGCCCCCCCAACAAGAACGAGAATTTTCTCTGGGTGGAGAGCAACGGGTGAAATCTGAGATGCCGTTCCGATGGATTTTCGAGGCTTGAATCGTCAACAGGTGAATCACAAGACGGACTGATTTTCGAGGTGCAAAAGCCCACATGGATTTCACCCCGAGCCCTCCACCCTAGGAGCATGTTCAGCAAACAAATGCTTTTGCTACAGTCAGCCCAGATTAGAGGGTCGACCCTGCCGAGCCAAGGGTGCTCTTGTGTCCTGTGCGTTCGCGACCCATGCCTTCCACAGTATCGTGACAACGTGGCCCTCGGAAGGGTCTTGCGTCCTCTCGCGTGTCCTCTCCAATCACCTGGTATCGCTCGGACGTGTGCACTTTTTCGCGGCGGGGATGATTAAGGAGCATCCTGGATCATCCTGCGAAAAAACACGCACGAAACCGAAACAAAAACACAGGGAATGGACGTCCGAGCGATGGCCATATCAATCCCAACTGTATGTTTGGTCTGGCGGCGCCTCATGGGGCGACGCGCGCGCGCTCAGCAGAGTCTTGTGCTGCGCGCGCACGGTGTGCGGGCGCTCTCTGGCCATACCGCCCGGGGCAACGCTATGCCAGGCCATTGCGGGAAGCGCCGTTCGTGGTCACTTATACGATTAAGTCGGGCCTGTCCCTCTACAGGGGGAATATTCAAAAATAGTCAAAGCATAGTCAGGAGACAATTTTTGTTTACATCATGTTTGCCCATGTGGGGGGCATGCTTAGAGTATGTTTTATTCTTCGCCCAAAATCCCCCTGCAGGGGGACACGCCCGACTGAGCTATACGATGAAGCCTCCAGGATCTGGCCTACGCTTTTCGGCCGCAGTCCAGGAGAGCACAGGCAGGCAGGGGCCCAACAGTGCCGTGTGGCCTCGCTCCCGGCATCAACGGAGCGCTCTTCACCGTCGAAGAGCACCCCTCCGAGCGTCTAGGACTCCTTATTGAGGCTGTCATCCTGTCGCTCGAGCAGCGGGCGGGACCGCTATACCATTGCCGAGCATCGGGTCGAGACGCCGCCCTCCGAACAAAAGTTGGGCCCGCGTTGGCCGGCCCCGCTTTGCAAGCTCGGTGGCCGCTTGGCCCAGTTCCAAAACAGGGCGGTGGCCCTGCGGCGTGGACAAACAAGCTGGCCCAGGCTTGTTTGAAACACGTGTGCAAATTTGGCACATGCTTCTCGGGACGTGACTCTGTTGATCCTATCTTCGTCTGCGTCAGATGTGTGTGTGTGTGTGTGCGTGTGTGCGTGTGCGTGTGTGTGTGTGTGTGTGTGTGTGTGTGTGTGTGTGTGTGTGCGACCCGTTTGCCTCGGACGTGCGCCTCCCAGGGGGGGCGCATAGCACCAGCATGGTCGCCAGCGCCCCGCGAAAGGCCTGGGCGCGCGAGCCGCGCAGCGACCCCGTGGCCCCTCCCCCCTCCCACCACCTCCTCGTCCTCCTCCTCCTCCTCCTCCTCC